TTAGCACATTGCTCAATTTGGGTTGCAGGTGAGCTGAGAGAAAAGTTGCAGTTGCTCCATGTGTTTTTATGTTTGTTGCTTGTTTCTATCCCCAGTGATTCTTGTTTGGTATTGCAGTAATAGCATAGATCTGGAGGTTGCAAATTTCAATTAAATTAGTGCAAAATGGCTCTGGGGCAGTTTCTGCTCGGGAATCTTTACTGTTGTCCTCATAAATATAAAACCTGATGTACCAGACTAAAATAATGCAATTGGAATGGATTCTGTGTTTCCTAATCCCTCTGAACTGTGATTCTTAAAACTTGTATGCATTCTGTCACACTGGCAGAATGAGGGCTCCGAGAGGTGTGAATAACAGCCCTTGGCAGTGCTGTTTACCAAAGTTGAAGCTCAGTTGGGTCCTGGATGTTCTGACCTGCCCAAGTCACAGGTCGTCCATTCGCACCAGTTGCTGTCGTGTCTGGCAGAATTTCCAGCATTGCTTTTTAAAGGCTTTGTTATGCAGGGACAAAAAACGGGTCAGAAGATTCACATGCTCCGTGAGGATCCTTTCCTGATGTTACGTGCTGTGTAGCCACTTCTCCAAGCTCTTTCCAGCTGGCCTCACCTCTGTGCTGTCCCAAGGGTTTTACCTTTATTGCATGAGGGAGCCCGAGGCTGTGGTGTTCTCTTTCTCTCATCCTTTGGCAGGACGGGAGGTTGGGATGTGCTGAACCTGGAGCTGAGTCTCAAAATGGCAATGAAGATGACTAACAAGTGGCCAGTTCAAGAGAGGGGAGAGCTGGGGGGGTCCTGGCAGGAGGCAGTGTCTTTATCTGCGTCTACATAAATGGTCCGATTTTCAGAGGAGCTGAGGGCTGACTTTCAAACAAAAGGTGCTTGGTGTTCCTGCAGCTGAGATGCCAAGACACCCACAGGCTGCCAAATACCAAAACAAGACAACAACAAACCCCAAATGCCTCCTGACCTCTGTTCTGAAGCTTTAAGTGCTCTGGCTTGGACAAGCAACCGTTCAGGTGTGGACGGGCCCTCAGGCTGCGCTATCCCGTGGGGAGGCCACGTCCTGTACTGTGTGCTCAGAGGCCTGCGTTCGCTTCTAAATCCCAATTCTCTGTGCTTCTGACACTTTGTGATGGATTGCCGAGCACTGAAACACCAGCAGCCGTTTGTCTTCGGCTCCCTCCTGCCTCTTTCAGCCCATCCTCAGTGAAAAGCCTCGCTCTTTCCTCAGCCTCTTGAACTCGCCAGCTGTGTGCTGCTAGGAGCTCGCTTGAGGCTCCTTTTGACACCAAATCCCAGCAGAATTTGTGGGACGGACCCGAGGAGGCTGCTCTCCACGTCTGTCCTGCTGTCCCTTTGTCCTGGTGTGAGGGACGCCCGCCTTCTGCACGCCGGCCAGCCCTCGCTCGGCCGGGCTCTGAAGCAATCTTAGCGGAGTTAGACCTGGCAGATGGAGGCCTCTTACCTCACTCCACAAAAATGCTTTGTTATTGAGAAAATGGAAACTGTCTGAGGTTTGGGAGCTGAATAGAGTCATTGGTGTCTGTTTTAACCGCAGTTTGGTGGTGGTTGCTGAAAGTTCCCCTCGCTGAGCAGTACCCTTTCCTACACCCATAATCTTCAAGTCATCGGAGAGCTGCAATGATTTAACTCATTAGCTGAGCAAATGCTGAATGCTGTTGCATACTCTGCAGAAACTTCACTAAAACCTCAGCATCTTCCAGCAAAAGAAACTTGGCTGGCCAATACATAACCCTTTGCAAACTGTTGCCCAGAAAAGTGATCCCTGTGTGTACTAAGCCGAATTCATCTCTCTTTTAAGATCTCAGCAGTGCCCTTGTTTACTTGATTTTTTTAAAAAGCATTAAGATTATGCGGGAGCTTTTTGGGGAGAAAAGGCATGCATGAAGGCTTGTGTCTTGTAATTCCATAACACGGGTATCTGAATCCCAGTTCTGAAGAGAAGTTTCCTTTCATCGGTGATTTTTAAAAGTAGATTTCGGCACTGGGAACTTGGGAGCCTAGGGAGAAAAAAAATATATAAAAGTAGGGATTAAGCTATTTGCAAGCTGGTTTTCATATTGCTCTGAATGACTTGGGTTAGTCAATACAGAATAGCATTAACCTAAATTCAAGATTTGTTTTAGTTAACAGATATTTGTATGCATTTGTGAAACTGGTATCTAATACCTCCTGCAGAGAAGATTGCTTAAGCGTTATTCACCAAGCACCCTAAGAGAACTGAAAGAAGCAGTGTTAGAGTTTTGGAAATAAAATGAGCACTTTATTTATGTGTTTTTAAACTAATGAATCTTAGCAGGCCAAACGAATGTCTTCCAGCTGCTACAGATGTTTTTTACATGACTAAATATTTTGGTGCATAGAAAAACCTAGAATACTTGAACCACAAGATATTAAATATTTAATTATTACCCTGGAATGTAAATATGGTCTTGATATTTTGAATTTGCTTACCTAAATTTCAAGTGCTTACTTACAAACTCCTCAATTAATATGGTTCTTATCTTGTTATCCGGGAAGAAGAGTGACTACTCAGCATCTCTCCAAATGTCTTTAAATATCAGAGTGGGTTTTAGTTACAGTAATTTGCTTAACTGGAGAAATCATCCCAGCTGTCTCAGGCAGAACCCAGGATCAGTATTTTAGCTGTAATGACCTGTTTCCGTTCTAGATCCCTGCTTTCTGTGGGTTTACAGTGTGACCGTAAAAATCCTTTCCAGACTGAGCTCTGGCTCCAGAAGTCTCTGGGAGAATTTTTAACATAAAATGCAAATTGTAGAAACAATTAGCAGTTGATTTTTCAAACCGTATTTTACCAGATTGTAGCCCACTCTGGACATGTGTTGTTCCTGTAACTCTAAGGCAACCTTATTTCTCGAATGATCCAAGCCCACAGGATTTCCCTCATGTGAGTATATTAGAGGTTAGGTAATTTCTGCTGCTGTTCAGATGGTGGCTGCAAATCATGCCCTTTTCCACGAAAACGGTGTATGTACTAGCTCAGTACTGCTGGGGAGAAATGTCGGTTTTGTTTTAGCTCTTCTAATGAAACAAAAGAAATTGTATAATAATACAAATGTCTATCTGGAAGGCATAACCAGCATGGCTGACGGCAAAAAATTCCTCTTTGAGGTCTGCAGCTGATGGCAGTATTCCTAGACAGTGCTTAGGGTGTGAGGATGGTGAAAAATCAAGCAGCAGCAGATCCTGAACTGTCGCTGTGACCAAGCACTGTTGTCAGAGTCGTGATCCCAAGTACTAGCTTAAACTGCTGGCTTTTGCCAGGCTTTTGACTTCCTTGGAATTCCACCGCCCTCATTTAAGGCAGAAATGGCTTTTTCTGTTCTTAAGAATTAACAATTTGAACTGGGACGTAGCTCATGGGTGCTCCACTGCAGTGTTGCCCTCCAGCTTTTCACCTCGAAAGCCCAAAGTTTCAACACCAGCAGCAACTAGCAAAGGCACAGTGTTACTTGGGCAAAAGATCTAGGGTCCAGATGAACTGTACATTGCAACTGCACAGTACCGGGTCTGTCCGCCTCTTCTTTTCTTTCTCCCCAGCTTCTCACAAAGGGTTCAGTTTGCGAGATCTGTTTGGACATAGGGCTGTAGCATGCATGAGTGGGCGTCAAAGTTTCCAGGCTGCTGCATCTCAGAAGGAGAAAGAAGCTTTCTGGCTTCAGTGCTGGCCAGGGACACGGATCTTGGTTCCATTTTTAGCTCTGCCAGGTTTGCCCTGTGCCAAAATCCTCCGAGGTGCAAATCCCAGGAGGGAGATGAAATAACTCCCTGCCCTGCAGGTGTTGTAAGGGTAAGTAGTGTTTCTGCTGGTGGCAGCTGTTAGGGAATCGATGAAGCAAAAATCCTGTGAGATGTACGGGATGTCAGGTTTGTGGAAACTGAACACTCTATGTTTATGGTCTTGCACTGGATCATCATATATGTTTGTGTTGTTGGCAATAGGGAGTCAAGGAGCTAAAGTACTTTCTAAAGAAAGCAAGCTAATCTTCAGTTCGTGTCCTGGGTGAGTATTATTTATTACCTGCCTCTTTTCCAAGCACGTAGAAATTTTCAGAGAGAAATGGAAGCTATTAAATTTTAAGGCATGTCAGTGGCAACCTTTAACTCAGTAAACACTTTTCTACCAAGAAAATTGCTGTGATGGCTAAATCAGAGGGATCTGGACTATGTGGGGTAATAGATGTACTTACTAAAGAGTCATTAGTAGCAGAAAGTACGCAGTGTTGCATCTAACTCAGCCAAGAGAACTTTTATTTCTAGTATTTCTCAACCCCGTGCAAACATCATGTAACTCACGGGAAGATTAATTCTGGCCCATTGGGCTTGTATAGAAGGCTTGGATGTGTTGCTTTTGGAGAGCCCGAAGAGCTGTATGTGGAAAATCACAAACGCACTTCAGGTTGGGGAAGGAGTCGGACCGTAAGCAGAATGCATCGTGCTTCATGCTCCGAAACAATGACTCAACCAAGGAATGATGAAATGTATGTTTTCAAATCCTTGATAGCTTTAATTTTAGAAGAAGAGGCAGAGCAGAACTCTGAATAAGTAGGGAAAAGGGCAGTTTAGACGTTTTGAATAATTGTGCCCCAGACTGGGCTGTTGGAATAACACCTGACCCTTTCCAGTGGAAGTTTGGCTGCTTGCTTCGTTAGCACCTGGCTTGGGAAATCAGGCTAATAATGGTGTTTGTTAGCATTTGACTTTCTGTTAGGAGTGTTGCTTGGTTGTTCTTTTCTATTGTCAGGTCATTGAGAAATAAAGAGAGTTTGGAAGTGAGTTTTATCTAACAAACTGGAATCAGGGATTCCTGCGCCTCTCGTGAAAAGTTGGAGTAACTCAGATCGTACGAGTCCAATTTCCAGTCACAAGCAATGAAATTTGAACCCGCGTAGGAAATGCAATCCCTGTGCTGATGTCACCCTCTGGTTTATGATGTGACTGCTTTTGTTTCTGGGCAAGCACTCGAGCGTTTTGCTGGCGAAGCGCTGATTTACTAGCGAGAGCCCCTCGCTCGCCGCACCTGCTCTGGCTGTCTGCGGTGGGAGTCAGCCGCAGAGCCGCCCCCGCGCTGCTGCTGCTCCTCCTGGGCTGGGATTTGGGCTGATCCATCGCAGCCAGCAATGCAAGGTAACAGAACCGCTCCTGAGGCTTCGCTTCCCTGCGTTCGCCAGTTTGGGGCAAATAGTCGGTGAATAGATCAGGTTGGGTCTGGTGGGTTGGGGGAGCAGAGGAGGGGTGCTCGGGTGTTGGTGTTTTCTTGTTGCAGGGAAGCCCGGGATCTCTGAGCTGCAGGAACGTGCAAAGAGCTTTGGAAACTCCTTAAATCTAGGCAGAGATTTGCTGTTGCTTCCTTCGGTGAATGAGTGTGGGGCATCGCCTCTGCAGCTAAGAAATGGGGCGTTGCTTCGTGTCCTCTGCTTCAGGGGCTGAAACAACTCTTCTTGGTCTTTACATGAAATTCTTGGTGAGAGGGGCTTCTGAAAGTTACACTTCTGACCTTTCTGTTCCGTTGTTATCCGTGGCAGATCTGTTCCACCTTGTTCTCCTCGTACATCTCAGATTTAAATTGGAGGACAAGGTTCTGTGAATGAGCCGCAGGCCTGGAGCAGGGGCTTTCTGCTGTTGTTACTTATTGTTCATGGGTGCTTTTGTGTGTGAAGGAGCACTCCTCATCTCTTCTTGAGTTTTCGGGTGGTCAGCACGTGTGCTTTGCCCTGCCACCTGCCAGCAGCAGTGCTCGGGGTTGTGCAGGCTGAAGCCAGTGTGGTGGGCACTAGTTCTGAGTTGGGCTCATCCAGATATTGGAAACTCGGTGTTTAGCTGCATGACACAAAGGCACTCACACCTGATTTTTGTGACCATTTGTGCCCACAAAGTCTTCTGGATGTGGCAAGTTTTCCCTTTCATAGGTATCACCAAAGACTCTGTGCCTCCAACTATTGCAGCAGGGCAGAAGCTGGGAAGCTTGTTGCTTTCTGCAAATTTCCTTCTGGTGCGTGCGATGACACGTTCCTTGGCGATTTTATGTAAAATACGTGATAATTACAAGCGATGGTTTCTGTAATTTAAGATGTGCAATAATTAAGAGAAATTTGTAAAGGTTTCAGCGAGAATTTACCGAGGAGACTTGATTGCATGACCAGGGCTGTGTGCTAAACCCAAGTGGCATCCGAGGAGCAGATCACCTAGCAGAGAAATCGTTAGCCCCAGAAGACAGAAACTTGGTTCACGTCTGCGTTGGCAAGACAGTGGCTCAACGAGATCTTCCTCTTCCTATGGCCCCTGCCTGACTCCTCTCTGGAGGGCTCAGCTGCTGTCCTTGGAGAGCTCGGCCTTTTTGCTGGACGGCTGCAGCTGGCTCACGCAGCATCTCCCAGGCAACAGGGGATCCTAGTTGTGTTTCGGGCCACGAGCGAGCAGTTCTCGGGACGGTAACCTGAGACAATTTGCCTTTGCCAGGATTCAGTCCTTCCCCAGATTTAGAAGCGCTCACATGCTGCGGGTTACAGGGCTGTAATTGCCTTTGCTTTGCAAGGGACACCAGCAGCTGTAAAAAGGGCTCCAGGCAGAGGCTGCCCTTATTTCTCATTACAATATCCTGCAGAGGCAAAGGGGCCCACGGTTGGTGATCAGACAGCAGAAAGGCAGCTGCGTGGCACACGAGTGACATGGCAATGTCTCCCGGGCACCTTGCTGACTTCGGCTTCGCTCTGTTGATTTTGCATGCAGGTGGAGAGCCCTGAAAGGGCAAAACTGCAGGGGTCACGGTGCAGGCTCCCTTCCTCTGATGTTAACTACAAATGCTGGGGTTTGGGAGACAAAGGATTCGACTGAAAAAGGGAATATTTTGACCAAATTTGGTGAAAAAATTCACATTGCCCTTTAAGTAATAGGCACGCATTAAATAAAACGTGTCTGTTTTACGTGTCTTTTCCTGCTCCTGTAAGTCGAAGTTACTCTGTTTACTAAAACAAGAAAAAAAAAAGCACACAACAAGTAGAAATTGAGCTGACCCTTAATCAAGAAAGAGCTGCCAGGCTTTCTGGAGGGGGCAGTTAATAGGGGATGGGGCTCAGCACACACAGGTTTGCTTTTCAGTGTGTGTGCACCGTGACTGCACGTGTCCTGGCAGTCTGTCCACAAGCCCCTGTGCGTGCTTGCTTAGAAGCAAGCTCGAAGCAGCCCCTCGATTACCTCTGTGTGCAAAACAGAGGTGTAATCCTGTAAGTACCTTTTAGTCAGGCACTACAAACGGCTTTGTGAACACCAATTTAAATGATTTATCTGCTCAGAAAAAAGAGTGGCTTAAGCCTCAATTTAAAAAAAAGTCTCTGAGGGAAGCAAAAGGAAAAACGACAGCATAAGGCTAGAATTATAAGAACTTCAGGGAAAGAAAGCAGAACTCTTTTATTTTGTAGTGATATCCGTACTGAGATGCACTGACCCTCAAAGCTAGCAACTAGAGCAGTCAGATTCTTTTTTCTGCGCGGAGGCTGCGATGTCTGTTTGAATTGCAAGATCCTTGTGTGCTGGGCAGATCTAAGACGAAGGTAAATTGGCTGCAGCGCGCACTTAGTCATTTCCTGCCAAGCTTTCATGTTTGAATTCTCGTGTACTGCCTATGACCTTTATTTCATGGGGCGAAAAGAGATTTTGAAACCTTCTTGCCGGAGCCCTCGGCTCGTGCAGCTGGCTGAGCCGTCAGGCATTTGTACGGCCACGGACCAAGTGCTGGGGTTTCTGGGCATAAATCAGCTCAGTCCAAAATTAAACTTTCATTGCTTAGATAATAGTCCTAACAACATGCCTGCTCTCCGGGACTCCCTTTTTGTTTCTGTCACAGCCAGGGCATTGCACAGATCTCCCCGGGTTGCCGCATTTGGAAGATTTAGGACGTCCTGGGCTCCGAGCAGCGCAGCGCTCTGGGGTTTGTGGCGTGAGCGTGTTTTCCTGTTTGCTCTTTGTGGGCACGTTTGTTATATGGTTGCTTTGTGGAGGGGGCCCTGTTCCTCGTGCAGGGCTGTAATCACGGCGATGTGCGGTGGGATGAGGCTGCAGAGCACAGAGCAAGAACAACACGCTGCAGCAGGGCGGTAACATGAGGCCCCGTGCACACAGCTTGCAGTTTCACGTGCACTTATATATACTCCCTTCATGACTTTCTTGGTGAACCCTCATCCAGTTACGGTCCCTTCCCACCACCTTTTCTTGTCCATCACTTTCTAATGACAAGGGCAAAGAAGGTTCACAGATAAACTAATCCACCTCTAAGCAACAGGCACTTTCCAGATTAGCTCCTGCCTAGACCTGGTATGAAACCTGGGCCCTGGAGGCCAGCCACTGCCCATTAATTTGTTTTGTATGGTCGATGGCTATCTTTAGGGTTTGTTTGCTTTCTTGCATTACTGTTTGTTGCCAGTAGGATGATGGCTATGAACGTATGGTGTCCTCAATATATCTGAAAGGTTTATTCAGCCAAGCGCAATAAACGCGTTCCTTACTCTCGTCCGGCTTTCTAGTTGAAAAAGGAAAAACAAGGAAACTTGTGGATTTGCCACTGGCAGACCCTGCAGATGGGATTTGTCAGGCACCCTCTTGCTGATGGTGTTTTTGCTGGTGCTGTTGAGGCTCCCCGGGCAGATAGGAGTTGTGACTGCTCCCATGCAGGGAGTTTTGTGCCCAGCGCTGGCAGTGCTGCTGCTGAGCTGGTGCGATGCGCACCGGCTGTGCCACAAACAGGGAAATCCCAAAGCTCAATATGCACATTTTTGATATCAGTTACTGTAACATATCCTTCCCTTAAATGCAACAAGGGGAGAAGGGAGCAGGAGTGCTGAAACCAGTTGCACGCTTGCTCCGTTTGAAGAACTGCTGTGAACCGCTGCCACTTCCCCAGGGCACGAGTCCCCGCTGCTCTGACCGCACCAAAGCTCCCGCGCTCGGTCACGCTCCCTAAAACTTGGCTCCGGCACCTTTCTTCCAATTATGGTCACCCTGGCCATGTCTGCAGCTGCTGCCCTGCAGCCGGTCACCAGCTTCAGCAGCGGTGTTTGGTTTGTTGCAAGCTGCTGCTGCCAGCAGCTCCTCCTGCTCGCTCGGTGTTGCGCAGGGCAGGGGAAGGTACCTGCGGCGGGGAGCTCGGGCCAGGCTCTCCTCTCCCACACCTCTTGGGAGACCTGCCAGAATCTCTTCTGGCACCTTCTGAAGCCACTATCTGGTAAACGAGACTCGATTTGGCTGGGGAGAAGTTTCGGTGTTCCTATCGAGCTCCTCTGCTCTTGGGCTCCTTTCCTGGAGTGAAGTGGCCAGCTTGCAGCGCGACGGGTCTGAGCTGCCCAAGTGCTTTCCACTCCTGACTTCCTGCTGCCTGTGCAGAATTTGCTTACTTTGTATATGACTTTAAATCAAATTAACAGCCAATCTCTTAAACAAAACTCAGTCTTCATGTCAGCAGAGTGACACGGCGTGAGTGCTCTGAATGCAGCCCAACAGCTCTGCTGCTGTAGCTGTGCCCTCAGCCCAAGCTACCATCTGAAGAGGCAGGATTTTGTTCAGGACCATTTTCAGGGCCATTAGTTTGTTCTAATACAATTAGAACTGTACTACTAAACACCTGTAGGGATTAATTAACTATTCATGACCATTAATTAATCCTTACAGGTGTTTAGTAATACACTTCTAGCTCTGAAATTGTTCTCTCCTTTCTTCCTGGGCAGAGTTTTTCATTTTCTGGTTGTGTAGAAGGGACTCTCAAGCCTCTTTCTTCAACCCTGGTAGAATTAACTTTCCCCAAAGAAAATAAGCCTGGAGGAAAGGCTGAACGGGGTGTTGCCTGTCGCCTCGTCAGCCTGCTCTGCTGTCCTTGCTTGCATTTTGGAAGGTGGGTAGAGGCAGTGAGGGTGGGCACCCCGGGAAGCCTGGTGTTTCTCACTGGGATGGATTTTCTCCTTCCCTGACCCCAAAGCCCAGGTCTCCGTGCTCAGCCCTGTGGTTGCTTTCCCTCGTGGCTGGGCTGAGTGGATCTGCTCTGATAGGAACGAGCTGGGGAGGAGAGGGACAGAAGTAGCTCAAAAACAAGTGCAAAACAAGGTCCCGGCCCTGAGAAATTGCTGTTTGAATCTCAGATGGGCAATCCCGCCTGCTTTTCCACCGTGGTATGGAAAGTTGGAATCCCTTGCAAATGTGGCCTCGTTAAAGAGGTTCTTTCTTTAAAGGACAAATGTCCCAGTGTGTACAAACACCAGCTCGGAGCTTTGTCCCATTACCTTGTATGGGGATGCTGCTTTGTGAGAGCCTGACTTGCTAGCAGCAGGTTTCCTTTCACACAGGAAAAGTTTTGTTTTCCGTGCCCTTATCGTTGGAGAAAGAACGAGGAATTTACTACCAGGGGATAAAGGTCTATGAACTCGTTCGTGTTTTGAAACCAGAGTTTTGGAGTTCCTTAGGACCCTGCTCTTCCTGACAGCCGCACCACATCCCATCCATGGGCACGGCAGCTCGCTTCTGGGGGTACCGAGGTTTTGGCAGACCTGGCCGGGTCTACTGGAAAGTCTGGAGGCACCTCAGGGCCAAAACTATCCCCGTGTGCAGGTTGCTGACTTGGTGTGCAGTCTCTCTGAAGTTTGTCGACTGGGTAATTCAGAAATTTAATGTAAACTTTAAGAAATCGTTGCTGCTTTCCAGGTCTTTTGAGTGTATCTGGTCGGGCAGATACCAGCAAATACTTAGGTCATTTTGCTCCCAGAATTTGCTTCTGGCTGGTGTTGCAAGAAAGTGTGAAAGCACAGGAGGGAGCCTGGCCTCCTGGAGACGGTGCCAAGCTCCTGCAAGCTGCGGAGATGCCTCTGCTGTAGCTGGCTGCGAGGTGACCTCCTGTGTCCCTTCTCCACTTCCATGGAACGATGCTGATAAGGACCATAAAAATTGGCATGCACAGCGTGCCACGTCAGTAACGTATAAAATGACACAGGTGCTTCCTTTCTGGTGTTGGAGGCAGGGGCACCTCTTGTTGTGCCTACCAGCGTCGGGCTTTCACTCTCTGAGGTCTGCTCCTCACATTGCATGCCTTACCTCGCTCTTCAGCCTCCTGTCTTTTTGGGGGGCTGTGTTTAGGCAGGATCGGGCACCGTGCACCCTCCTGGCACCCTCCTGCTGCCTGTAGGCAGCGTGGCACAGCAGTGGTGGCCGTCCCCTGCACCATGGGGTCATTGCCACTGCTGAGCTGGGGCTGGGCACAATGTCCCAGCCGCAGCTGCGCAGTGGGATCCTCTGGGCAGTGGGGGCTGCCGGTGCCTGAGAGTTTCTGGTAAGATCAAACTGGGTTGGGGATGGTTGAGCTTCTAGCTCTTATCTTAATCTGTATCTTGATGTGCTGGGGCGAGCCCGTGGGCTGTGGTTTGGCACTTTGAGTGGAGGGCATCTCAGATATTTTCTGAATGCTCGGAAACCTCAGTTTGCCATCCTAAGGCTGTAGTAAAATGCAACAATTGAAGCCAGCCTCGTGCCTTCTCAGCTGCCTTCGCAGTTTCTGCTGCTGCATCCTCTCCAAGTTTCAGAAGCTGCGTGCCGTGCCGAGCGAAGGATTCTGCCAACACTTTTCCATGTGCAGCACAGGGTGCAGCCATCTCCATCGACCTGCAGCAGAGCCCAGGGCAGGCGATGGGTCCCCCTGTGCGAGGGGAAGCGACGACACTGCAGCTCTGTCGGGCACAGCTGTGTGCCATGCGCCCGGCTGAGCCTTTTTTCTCCTGCCTCCCTGCAGGCACTCTGCTCCTCGCCGCCGTGCCCTTGGGCTGCCTGTGGGGCTGGAAGGGAGCTCAGAGGTGCAGCCGCAGGCAGGAAATGACTCAGGGGTGCTCGGAGCAGGCGGGGAAGGCTTGGTGCAACAGCACTGCCAACGGGCAGGCTGGATCCGGCTGCCTTACCCTGGCAAAATGCTCGGCACCGTCCTGGCAAGCTTCCCCCAACCTCTCACCTGGAAGCTGCAGGCGGGGATGTTGTGCCCGCCGTGCCAGGCTTGCAGCTCGTGGGGTTGGGAGCAGGGCGAGGGGGCAAACGGGGAGGTTGTAGTGCAAGGAGGGGCAGGGGAGCTGGCCCCACGCGGCCCCATAAAGCTGCAGAAGCGGTGTCAGGGCAGGGGAAGGTTTTTGGTTCGCAGCAGAACGCAGGGGCCAGCGCCGCTCCCCTGAGCGAGCAGCTGGTTTCCCTTTTAGGGTCGGCGAGAGGCAGAAACAATTTCGCTCAGATTCCAGGACCCGGAATGGTTCTGGAAAGCCAGCAGGAACAAAAAGCGTTCTTCCCCTCTTCTGACCTTGAAGCACGCCCAGGACCGTCTTTCAAAGCCTCCTCCCTGGACAGTTTCGTCCTTACATGGGGAGCCTGGCCCCCAGCGCTGCGCCTCGCCGGCCGCGTGTCTGTTTAGGTGTGAAGTGAGACTGCACAAGGGGGAGGCGAGGATAGGCAGGAGCCTGGCACACAGAGCCAAAGACAGGTCTATTCCTGTGCCCTGGAAAGATTAAGTGTTTCCTTTGGAATAGCCTCGTGCGCTCGGGTGGCTTCGTGGACGTGACCTGACAGCGACCGCGGGGCGCTCGGGCTGAAGGAGCTCCTGGTAGTGGGAACGGCCTCCGAAGGCTGATCAAACTCTGAAGGGTTCACAGAAAGCCTGGCCCTGGCCCTATTCTTTGCATAACAGGACCCCAGTTCGTAGATTTTAATGTCACGATATCCCGGGGCTGTCGCTAAGCCTCTGCTGTCCCGCCGCGGCGTTACGGGCACGCTGCTCTCTAATTAGAAAGTGGCCTCTGCTGCGTGTCCTTGGCGGATCGCTGACCTTTCTCAGACGTGAAGTTATTCTGAGCCCTGTTCCAGACTGATCAGGTTTGCATCCCGGAGCACCCTGAATGTTGTTTGCGAGAGGAGCTCTTGTTGCCAAAGCTGTTTGTTCCTGGGCACAGGAGAGGAACCGAACTTCCTTCCCTCCGTGAGCACGGCTATATCGGTCAGGAGGAACGGGCAGGCAGCTGGCAAGCAGATATTTGGTGGTATTTTTGCCTTTGGACAGTGAGACAGCTGCGAGAACATCCCGTGTCCAGCTCCACCGTCCCCGCGTGTGACGGACCTGGTCCTGCAGGCACCGCGCTTGTCCTGCGATGGGCAAACAAAAGCTCCCTTTGCAGCTGGAATCCCCTCGTTTCGGGCAACTCCTTGGCTAGCAGTGGAAGGCATCACGTAGTCAGCCTGTGTTTACAGGGTGGTGCAGGCTGCAGAGTATGAGCACACGCTAATTAGCACACATAGTGACTGCCTATATTTAGAAGTGCCTGCTAAATCTGAGCATCAATTAAAGTTTTGTTTTTAAACGACGCTTTAAAAACTCCACCTCTTTTCTTCATGAAAGGAGACAATTTCCAAGTCCCCGATTCGTAAGAATTATGGGCTTTTTACAACTCCTTTGCTCTCTTTCTTTCCTTTCCCCTTCGCCATGAACTTGGTCCCCAGCGGTGCCATGCCCACGGGGGTGAAGATGCAGTTTGCTTTGGCGTGGGGCAGGGGTTTGACAGTGCATGCGCGACCAGAACAAAGGGAGCAAACAGATTGCTTCCTCACAGCTTATCTAATGCAAATAACTCCGATCAAACTTCCTGGGGCTGGTCTTTATTCTCTGGAAAGGGCATCGTGCAGTCCGATCCTGTGTGCTCTCACGGCAGCCCCAGCCATGCGATGCTCAGTGCTGGCTCATGACAGTCCCTGCACCCCCAGCCTGCTCAGGCTCTGGGGCTGGGCCAGCTGGGACCGACAGGGACAGTCTGATTTGGGGGAAAATCTACTCAAAGCAGGGGTGAGCACAGCCCGGGAGGAGCTGGATGGCAGCAGTACCCTGCGGAGCAGCCCTTTGCTCCCAGTGCACCCAGTTCTCCCAGTTCAGGGGCTTCAGCAGGCGTCCTGCCAGCACGGTGTGGCTTCAGACGATGCTTTAGGGGCTAACCAGGGATATCATTTTCAGAGGGTTCATCTGGTTTTCTCTCAATCCTCTATGTCTGCTCGGTACCCTGCAGCAAAGGCAGCACCCGGTGACACCCACGGTGCTGCCCCGGTGCTCGTGGTGGGTGCCAGCTGGCGGTGGCAGAGCAGGGGCTGGCACTGAGAGCAGCCGGGATGACAAACAGCATTTGGGATTGAAATGTTCCTGTCCTGTCACTTTTGTTTTTAAGCCCTCTTTTGGTCACAGCACTCGCTCAGCTGTGCCAGGGGGGAGCGGGGTCGTGCTGCAGGGACGCTGTTGGTGCACCCACTGCTTGCCTGGGGCTTGCTGGGTGGTACTGGGTGACACTGGGTGCCGAGGGTACGTGTGGGGCTGGGGGCCGGGACACTTTTGGGGCAGCAGCACCTGCCTCAGCACAGTGGGTCGGGGCTGGGGGAGCCCCCGCTGCCCTTAGCAAAATGCTGTGCCTTGCTTTGAGGTTGGGGACGGGGAAGGGCAGCCTCCAGGCTGGGGACAGCAGCGCTTGGGGGCTGAGTCCATCTCACCAGTAGAACCCAAGGCTTCTCCCACCCAGTTGTTTTTCTTCCCCGTGTGTTTTTTGCTGCCCTCTGCCCCCGTGTTTTAGGACCACGGAGATAGCACAGCCCATTGAGCAAACACGGTACCTCCTAGCCCCGACGGTATCGTGGCTCCCAGGGCAGGAGTGCTTATTAGAGGCCCTTTTATTACAAGACACACCTTGGAAAGTTCCTCTCCTCGGAAGGGCTGGGAGGAGGAGGGTGGTAATTCAGTTTTCATTCTTCGCCAGCGAAGAGAGGTCCCGGGTGGCTGCAGGGAGCCAAGGCAAGCGGGGCGGCGGTGGAACGCGGATGGGGGGCGCAGGAGCTGCTGCCCCCGTGCGTGGGCACCGTAATGGGAGGGTGCTGGGAGGGCAGAGCTGGGGCAACGGGGCCACCCCCGGCACCGGCACTCACCGGGCTCCTTCGGGAAAACCTCCCTGAGCGCCTGCCCCATCCCCAGTCCCAAACTGGGAGCTGCCCGGGTGGGCTGGGGGCCGTGGAGCTGCTCCCACGGCAGGCGGCAGCTGGGCAGCGAGAGCATCTGAAGGGGGACTTTGTTCCCTGTCCGCTGGTCACGTAGCCATGTGGGAACACTCGATTTATTCCCCGGCAGCGCTATCAGCACATACCAGGCTTGACAACAGCTGGGAGCCGTGGAACTTGCCCAAGAATAGCGCTGGGGAGCTCGCTGCCTGAGTCAGAGCTGTCTGGATCAGCTCCTGCCCCGCGGGGGCCTCCCAGCATCAAGGGACAGCCGCTGCCACGGGGGAAACCTTGGGGAGGGGGCCACGGGGTGGTGGGGAGCTGCTGCCCCCACCGAGCTTGGGGCTGCAGATGGGGCCACGCAGCTCCTCCTGGAGCAGGGGGGGTCCTGGAGGAAGCTGCAGCGTGCGGCTCCGCCGCTGACTGCTCAGATGTAATTCCCTGGGCTTGTCTACACTTGACAGCGAGCTGGTATTGCAGAAGGGTGTGAATTTGCAAGCGGAGAATTCCATATTTAGGAATAACCAGGTTAAAGCAAGCAGCAGGAAGGTGCTCGCGCTCCGGAATTGGGGTTCCGAGGAGCGTGTGGTTGTTCTGTGTGCCGCTCGTCCGAGGGGGAGAGCGGGGCAGCACGTGGTGTATGAGCTGCCTGCAAAGCCCGAGCACCTCCCCGGCTTGTAAACCACCCGTCCTCCCCAGTGCCTGCTCCCCGAAGAGGGTTTGTAGCTGGAGCAACACGTGCAAAGAGCTTTGCTGGGACGTGGCTTTGTAGCTGGGCACGGCACGGGGTGCCCGATTTCTGCTTCCCCACGGAGCAGCTGTAAAAAGTCCTGGAGAAGTTCCAGTGCTGGAAACGCTGACAGCTGGATCAGGCGGAGCATCGGCCCATGAGCCGTCCCCAGGAATCTTGCTCGTGGTGCGGGGCCGTGTTGGCAGCTCATGGGGGTCTCCAAAGGGGGTCGGGAGGCGGCTCTCCCTCACGGTGCCTGGCTCGGGTGTGATAGCAGTGCCCAGCGTGCACATGGGGCCGTTCCGGGTGCTAAATCAGAATTCTGCAGAAAAATTCTTCTGGTTTCGGTCATCCTTTACCCTGTGCTTCCCAGCAAGGAGCGGGGCAGCGGGAAGCTCACCCCATGCCCACGTGTCTGGGTTTCTCCGGGCGGTGCCTCGGTGCCTACGTGCTCCGGGTGCCGAGTGCGAGCAGAAAACCGGGGCCAGATTCAGCCTCAGCCCTGACCGCCTGCGGGCGTTTTTGGAAATGCCTCTGACCTGTCCCGACAGCGGCCGGTTGTCGGCCACAAGCAGGGTTTGAGGTCCTTGTCCTGTAGGGATATCAGGGCTTATCTCGGCAGGGTGAGGCGGTGCTGAGCGAGCGCCTCTGCTCCTTCTCCCAGCAGGTGAAGGAGGCCCCCAGACCGGCACCATGACCGAGTGCTTCGACTGCGACAACTGCAAGGAGTCCCTGTACGGGCGCAAGTACATCCAGATGGACAACGGCCCGTACTGCATCCCCTGCTACGACGCCCACTTCGCCAACACCTGCGACGAGTGCAAGGAGCTCATCGGCCACGACTGCAGAGTGAGTACGGGCCCCGTGCTGAGCATCACGGGCTCCGGGTGCTCGTCCCCAACCCCCCCTCACCTCGCTGTCCTCCCCAGGAGCTGTACTACGAGGATCGCCACTACCACGAGCACTGCTTCCGCTGCTTCCGCTGCGACCGCTCGCTGGCCGACGAGCCCTTCACCTGCCAGGACGAGGAGCTGCTGTGCAACGACTGCTACTGCAGCGAGTTCTCCTCCAAGTGCATCGCCTGCGAGAAGACGGTCATGCCAGGTAGGAGCAGACAGGGGCCAGGGCTGCGGTTTGCTCAAGTTCCAGCAGCACTGGATGGGGCTGCAGGCTCCAGCGCTGGGGCAGCAAGGGAGAGGTGGATTTCTGCCCTCCTGCTGCACTGTCAGAGCACAGCACAGGCTGGGCGCCGTCTGGCAGGACAGCAGGATGCCGAGATGCGATCAGCACAGCCCTGTCTGTCTGTTACCCTTTTTTTTTTTTTTATGGGGAAGTGAGATGGGGAGGAAATAACAAAGCGTTTCCTGGGCATTTTCTGATGTGTGCTGACAAGAAAGGAAGGAATGGCTGAAGGTGCGTCTCTGTGGATAGCCCGAGGCAAAGGAGTGTCTTTGCTTGGCCATTTTGGCACCCACTTCAGCTATGGGTTACAACAGGCTTCTCTGCCGTGGCCTGTGCTGGTGCAGGGGGCATGTTGCCACAACCCTCCCTCTGCTCGTGGCTGCCAGCTGGACCTGGGGACTCCTCCCCAGCCATCTGCGTGGCCCCGTTTGCCCGTGCCACGGTGTGCAGGACCCCGTTTTGTCCTGCACAGCCTCCTGTGTGAGTGCGTGTGCCCCTTCCTGCCTCTCTGAGCACCGCTCTTCTTGCAGGGTCCCGCAAGCTGGAGTACAACGGACAAACCTGGCACGAGCACTGCTTCATATGCAGCAGCTGCCAGCAGCCCATCGGGTCGCGGTCCTTCATCCCAGACCAGAAGGATTATTACTGTGTCCCCTGCTACGAGAGCAAGTTTGCTCCTCGCTGCACTCGCTGCAAAAAGGTACGGCTGGCCTGGCAGCCCAAAACCCTCGTCCTGTGGTCCAGGGCTGCGTTCCCTGCTCCTGCCACGAAGGGGTGGTGGGATGGTGCTGGGGTGGGCCCCCATCTCCCCTGGCTGGGAGGAGAGGACAGGGGACTCGTGGATGGCCCAGCTGCTGCCTGTCAGTGGCTGCTCTGCTCCAACAGTGCCAGGGATGTGCAGGCTGTGCTCCAGCCCTCTCCAACCCCCATCAGAAAAAGATTTGGGTGCCAGCACCCTGGGTGACAGCACCTCCTGCATGGCCGTGCCCGTGTGTCACCCGTGTGCTCTCTCTTCCTGCAGACCCTGACCAAGGGAGGGGTGACCTACCGGGACGAGCCGTGGCACAAGGAGTGCTTTGTCTGCACGGGCTGCAAGACCCCCCTGGCTGGCCAGCAGTTCACCTCCCAGGATGACAACCCCTACTGCATCAAGTGCTTTGGAAACCTCTATGCCAAGAAGTGCAGTGCCTGCACAAAGCCCATCACAGGTGAGCGGGATGGCCCTGGTGACAGGGTGCTTCCTCCAGGCAGGACGTGGTCGAGTTCCCAGGGGAACTCCTTGGGGCAAAGCTGCCCTCTGCAGCTCACCCATCTCCACCCAACAAGCTTGTTCAGGTGCCTCTAGGCACTTCTGCAGCCCAGCAGAATCTGCAGTAAAATCGTTTTGCTCCTCTTCACCGAGAGTGGAGATCCGTATTTCAGAGGTGTTCAGTTCTGCAGGGTGTTTGGTACCCTGGCAGCTGGCCTGGAGATGAACCAAACCCCACGCCTGTACAGACAGCTTGTCCGAGTGTCCCAGGGGTTTTAACGCTGTGCTCTGTCCCTCCCACAGGCTTTGGTGGAGGTAAATACGTCTCCTTCGAGGACCGTCACTGGCACCATAATTGCTTTAACTGCGCCCGCTGTAACACCTCGCTGGTCGGGAAGGGCTTTATCCCTGACAATGATGAGATCCTGTGCCGCGACTGCAGCAGCGACCTATGAGCCTCTGACGACACCGTGGGGCAGGGGCTTTCTCTATTCTTCAGGGTCTTTGTGCCAGATCCCCCTGACAGCATTTCAAGGGCCGGGCACGAGGCGTAGGAGATGAGGGCTGCCCCCGAACCGCGGTGTGTTCAGGAGGTTCCTTGTGCCCCTCCCTGAAGGCTAGAGTATGCTACGCTAAGGCTCTGTGCGGAGCCAAAGCTAAATAAAGTCGAAAAAAAGGAGCTTTGAGATCCCCCCATTATTTACTCTTTCCTTTTGCTTCCTGTCTGACCGGGCACGAGCTGAGCAAAGGGCGGCAGCAGCGGCTTCAGTGCTGGGCTGCTGGGTCTGCACGCTGGCAGCATGCATTCGCTCCCCTTGGCACAGCACCGAGCCTTCTCTTTTCCCCGGGTGCTCCCCTCGCTCTGCGTGCTGTAAGGCTGCAGCTCCCTGTCCACACAGCTTGGCCCTTCAGCCCGTGCCCCGGGTGGCTTTGCAGCACAGCCTTCCCCTCACCCCTGCACAGCCCATGCATGCAGGGCTCTCTGCCCTATTTTGGGAGGTTTGGGGACATCAAGACTGGAGCGTGGCCAGGAGCAGAGCATGTCACCCGATGAAATCGACCTCCGGATGTCCCTAGCCACCTCGCTGCCTGCATGCCAGGCCCTTTTCTCAGCATGGCTCAGTGGCAGAGTGCTCAATTAGAAGCAGAAAGGGAGCTGGCAGTGCTCATAGGTCTGGAGCGCTCTGTCCCAAGCCCCAGGGACCCTCAGGGCTCTGTCCCAGTGTCCCCAGCCTGTTCCTGCCAGTACTGAACATCCGTGGTGTGCATGGGGCTCCTGGCGAGGGGCTTTGTGTCTCCAAGGCCCTGCTTCGTCCTAACTGCATACAACAGGACGCCCTGAGCTCACCCAAGGGCTTCTGCCATCCTTGCCTGGTGCTGGGCTGGCCCTGGGCCCCCCCAGAGTCCCTCTGCAGGGGGGTGCTTGCGCCTGCCTTGTCTCCATCCCCTCTGCTCTGTCCTGCTCGGGATACTTGTCCCAGCCCTGCTTTCCTGCTTAGACCGCCACATGCTTCTCTGAAGGCATCTTCTTGTGTTTTTCTTTGTGTTTTTTTTTTTTTTCTCCTTTTGTACTCTTTTGTCATGAATATCTGTCATTTTGTAACCAGCTGCGGGATGAAGGGGCTAGCCCCCCTGCCCAGGATTCACGTAGGAGTAAAAAAAAAAGAAGTTATGCATGTTGAAGTGTTATTAACTCTGCATTCTGATCCCCGTTGAACCCTCGTTTGAAAGCTTTGATGCAGGCAAATCAGAGTTTGTGTGTTTGCTACTTTGAGGTGCTTGGAGCAGTCTCTAGAAGGAAGTGTCCTCAACCTCAGCCTCCTGTACGTTTCCTACGGCTTTCTATAATAAACTGTTTTAGTGACACTCGCTCCCGTGTGTTTCTCGAGGGGCAGGGCCGCCTGACGGCCTTGTCCTTACCCCAAACCCCACAGAGGGATGGGGCTGCACTCTCCCTATCCTCTTGCTTCCCCTTCCCCAAACCACATCGGCTATACGGGTCCTTTGGGGCCAGGACAGAGGAATGGCAGCTCCCTCACCCCGCTGGGGTGCCTGTCTGTCTGTCCAGGCAGGCTGTCCTGTTTTGGGGCTGGCTTTGGGGTTCAGCAGCAGCCAGGACACGGGCTCGTACCCCACTACACCGAGCAGCTTCCCCATCCCGTGCCCCACGCTCCCGGTTCGGGGGGGGCTTTGCTGGGGATGTGGCTGCGGTCTCCAGCTGGGGTGAGCGGTCTCCTCCTGGCAGCCTGCCCCGCAGCGCTGTGTGCTCATTACTCACTTTTATCAGCTGGGGAGCCAGTTATTCCCCGAACATCTGAAACTATTTTCCGCAGATTCCTTTTCATTTACTAACAGCTGCCACAGCTTCCTCCACACTCAATGGCCCCCTGCACCCCTCTCCATCCCCCAGCACAGCGCCAGCAACTCCCATGGGTGCTGCAACGGGACCACAGCTCTGGCTCTGTGTGTGCACTCTCCCAGCTCCTGCAAACATCACCTCTGGCAGCTCGTGTTGTTTTTTTTTATTTTTTTTTTTTCATGTAAGATTTTTGTAGCTGTTGCTGCCCTGCGACCTGCGCCGGGCTCTGGTTTTGCTGCCGCTCGGCCTCAAACAAGGAGCGAGCAGCTCAGGCCCTGAAGGTTTCCAGCTGAGCCCGTCCTGCAGCAGCAGCACCGCAACTCCTTGTTTCTGCAGCGCTGTTTCCAGGGATTAACCACAAAAGGTTTCTGTACAAAGGGCCCCCGGGCTCCTCTTTCAGTCAGCCTCAAGAGCCTCACGTTTTTAGCCAAAAAAGGAAATGACCCAGCTGCACGTAGCGCTGGAACATCTGGATTTTATCCCTGTCATGAATGGGTCATGGCTGTGCACGGCCCCGTGCCTGATTTACGGGAGGGGGAGGGTGATGTCATGCACAAACGTCCCCCGGGACGCCCAGAGCGCGGGTCTGAAACAGGCATGAAAATATTATTCAGCCAGGCGAGCAGTGCTGGGGCTGGGGGGGGGGGGGAGCAGGGAACCTCGCTGGGAACCCAAGGCAGTGCTGGGGGTGCAGGAGGAGCCCCTGGCACCAACCATGTGCCGGAGCTGGGCTTTCCTGCACCATCCCGATGGGCACAGCCACCCCAGAGAGGCACACAGCGGCTCCTGCCCCGTGTTCCCGCTCAGGCTCGCTGCAAGCTTCATTTTTCCCTGCCCTTGGGCTGGTTCTCTCCCTTTCCAAGCAGACTTTTCGGCTCCCGGCTGCCTGCTGGCGTTCGCCCCTCTCCCAGCCGCGTGCATGTTCGGGCAGCGTCGGGTCATGGCGCCAGCACGGCCTCGCCACTGCTGCAGGTCCTGGGGTAGCAGCAGAGCCGGTGCTAAAGGGCGAGCTGGTCTTGGTCTCCTTTGTCTCTGTTGCTGGAGGGTGGGGATGTGGCTGCAGTGGGGTTGGACCCTGGAGGCATCCTGCGTGCTTCCCCAGCTCCCGTCCCTTCTTCCAGGCACGCAGCACAGGGCCGGGGAGGTAGGGAGGCAGCAGGAGCTTGCAGAGCCAGGTTTGCTCCCACCATCCCACCTCTCCTTGCAGGAAAATCGCCCCTGATCTGTTCCCCCATCAGCGCCAGGCGCAGCGGCTGCTCTGACTCTGCCTTCCCAGCACCAGTGCGGCTCATCCCAGAGCCTGCCTTCTCCCAAGGGTGCTGCTACTGAGGGTCAAGGAGAAGGGGCCAGGCGCCTCTGCACCCACCCACCCAGTGCCACAGCCCCCGACAAAGACCCATGTGGCTGGGGGGAACCTTTCTAGATTTCAGCTCCTTACCTTTCCCGGAATGAAGTTTCATGCAAAGGGAAAGGGAAGAACTCTAAGTTCGGAATCTTATCTCCGTTTTTATTTTTAGATAGGCATTCATGAGGAAGAAGTGACGTACTTAGGGGCAGCCTGTAGTGCAAGAGAGTAATTAAAGACAATATTCCTACCACCAGGATCATTCTCGCCTCAGCAAATTGACTGTTCCCAGGGCAGGATCATGTTTGTCTGTCATAATTAAGCCCGATTTTTTGTTGTTTCTTTTGGCTTAAAGTAATTTATTATGCATGGTAGAAAAAAATTATGAATAATTTATTTATGAGTTAAAATTTAATTATAACTTTGCATTTGGCAGTGGGGGCAAAGCACTGGCATGCTCTCTCCTTGGCATTTAGGGTGGATCTGAAGGGGGTAATTAAAATCCAAATGAAAGTGGAAGGTCACAGCCGAGGCCTTTATGGGAGGACTTCCTCCAGGATCATGTCACTTGGGTGCAGTCACGCTGCTGAAAGCCTGCCGGGCTTACAAGCCCGTGTTCGCCAGGTAGTAGGAGAAAGAACTGTGACCCAAGGCAGATGGGGAGGGAGGCTGCATACCGGACCGGACACGTTTCATTCCTTCAGGCCTGTTCTCGTTCGGACTGTGATTCACAGCTGTGTAACGCTGCCCCAGCTGCTCTCAGGTTGGAGGCTTTCGTCCCGGCCGCGGGCAGGGATGGGCTCGCACCTGCCTGGGGGCACCCGTGGTGCTCATCCCATCCCCAGGCGAGCCCTGACGCTGCCCAGGAGTTGCCTCCTGCCTCCAGAGACAGGCAGGGGCAGAGTTTCGGAGCGCTCACAGTGATTTTGAGGAGGGTAATTCAAGCCATGACTTCTCCAAGTGCTCTTTCCTGCCTTCTCTGTGGCGTGGGCTCCACAGCATGGTGGCAGGGTGGATACATAGACGGCAGTGCGTGGATGTGGGGCTGACAGATGCCGTGGTGGTGGAGCTGCTGGGTGGGCTCAGGGATGGGGGCTGTGTGTGCTGCCCCTTCGTGTGGGGACACCAGCGGGTTCGGCAGTGGGTGTCTCTGGTCAATGGGACTTCATGCACGTGTCCTGCCAGGGTGGGCATGGTGCTTACACCTGTGCTGAGCTTCTGAGAGGCTTCAAGGCTGCTTCAGGCTGCACCTGTTTGCACAACACAAGGAAAACAATCTTGCTGGCAGCATTTGGGGCAGGATTTGGTGGTGCTCTGCCCTCCCTCGAGCACTGTGTTCAGCTTTGAACCCCTACAAGAAGGGGTTCACTACACTACAGTACAAGGACATCAAGGCCCTGGAGTATGTCCAGAGTAGGGCTACGAAGCTGGTGAGGGACCTGGAGCACAAGTCCTGTGAGGAGCAGCTGAGGGAACTGGGGGTGTTTGGGCTGGGGAAGGGGGGCTCAGGGCAGAGCTCATTGCTCTCTGCAACTGCCTGGAAGAAAGGGGTGGGGAGCTGGGGTCGGCCTCTGCTCACAGGGAACTGTGCCAGGAGCAGAGGGAACGGCCTCGAGTTGTGCCAGGGGAGGTTCAGGCTGGCAATGAGGAGACATTTCTCCTCAGCAAGAGCGCTCAGGCGTTGGGACGGGTTGCCCAGGGAGGTGGTGGAGTCCCCGTCCCTGGGGGTGTTCAGGGAGAGGTTGGACGTGGTGCTTGGGGACACGGTCACTGGGTGGGGGTTGGACCAGATGAGCTCGGAGCTCTTTTCCAACCCTAACGATTCAAGGGTTCAGTGATTCTACAGAGAGGAGTAGCTAAAACCCAACGGTAAAAATAACCGTCCAGCGGCCGGGCACGGGGACCCCGGGGGGCCGGAACCTTTCCGCCCCCCCCGGAACCTTTCCGCCAGGCCCCAGGCGGAGCCGGAGCCTTTCGGCGCGGCGCAGGCGGGCCCGGAAGAGGAGCGCAGGGCGGGCAGGGACGATGGAGACGATCCTGGAGCAGCAGCGGCGCTACCATGAGGAGCGGGAGCGGCTGATGGACGTGATGGTGAAGGAGATGCTCACCAAGAAGTCCACGGTGCGCCCGGGGGGCCGCGGGGGAGGGCTGGTAGGGGGCTGGGGGCAGCCGGGGGTTGTGTGGGCCCCGCTAACGCCGCCGCTCTCCCCGCAGCTCCGCGACCAGATCAACTCCGACCACCGCACCCGGGCCATGCAGGACGTGAGTGCCGCCAGCGCCGGGTTTCTGCCAGAGCAGCCCCCAAGGAGTGGGTGCTGGACGCCCGTGGCCCTCTCGTTTTCATCCTGTGGTTTCTTTTGTTGCTTTTTTTAGAGGTACATGGAAGTGAGCGGCAACCTGAGGGACCTGTACGATGACAAGGATGGGTAAGTGGTGGCCCGAGCAGTGAATGCCTGAGGTGTGTGACCACGCAGGTGGCTGCTCCGTGTGTTTTGCCTCGTGGTTTGTAGGTGAGGAACACGGGGGCTCCTCTGAATGTGGTGTAAACACATGAGGAGTAATGCTGTTCCGTGAGACACTGCACCATGGTGACACTAAACCTGCTAGAGCAGAACCTGGGCTTCCCATTAAATATGTTTATGCAGGATATAAACTTCTCATTATATCATTGGATTGAGCCACCTGTCAATTGCCTCAAAGGTTTGTGAGTTTACTGCATTTTCAGTGAGAGACATGACCTGGACCGCCCAAGCACGAACCCAGCAGGCTAAACTGTCTCTGCGAGGTTTTGCAGTCAGTCTCGCTGGGGTTTTGTATAGTCAGAATGCGGCGCTGGACCTTGAAAAAAAATCTAGGAGTGTAAACGTGTTCTCCTTCTAATTTGTAACCTGATCTTTTTCATGAACTCTTAGCTTACGAAAGGAAGAGCTCAGTGCCATTTCAGGACCAAATGAGTTTGCAGAGTTCTACAACAGACTGAAACAAATTAAAGAGTTTCACCGAAAGCATCCAAATGAGGTGAGTAGTTAACTGCTTCATAAGAATAGCTGTTCTGTGGACCTCATCCCTGCAATAAACAGGCTTTTGTTGCTGTTCTGTTTCATTGCCTTAATGTATAAGTATGAAGTATATTAAAAGGTCATTCAATAAAATAAAATATTGAAGAACAGATGGTACTTTCGAGGCTTTATATAACCTCCTGTGAGATCTGTATGAGTAGGAGAAAATGCGAGATGCTGACCATGGCCCCTGCACACTGTGTGTTAGTTTGGGAGCCACCTGCTGCTGAGCGTTCAGTTTTGCCTGTCTAATGCTGGCTAAAGTCAGGGTGACTGGGTAGTACTGCCTCTTTCTTTGTGCAAACGTGATGTTGCAGAAACGCTTTGGATACCTTTCCAGTTACTGCTTTTATTGTTTACAATATATTTTGATTTTGTATTAATTATCCTGGGATGTTAGCTGAAGTAATCACTTTTTCTGTAACTTCTGTCTGTTCTTGCAGATTTGTGTTCCGATGTCGGTGGAGTTTGAGGAGCTGTTGAAGGCCAGAGACAACCCGAGCGAAGAGGCTCAAAGTAAGTCTATATTTTTTTTTTCTGAGGTCAGTTTGGGTGAGAATACCATGCTTGCTTGAGAGGTATTATTTGGTGACCTGTCCAAACTTAGGTCTTTCAGAGCTGTACTTCTCTTTTACTCTGCTGCTTCTGACAATTCTTATTTCATTTAAATTCTCCTGAACTGTAGCCACCTTGGAATACTCCACAGTCGTGGTGCTTCTCTTGGGGAATGTTCTGGTGTATTGCCCAGATGCCTTGTTGCTTCTCTGTGTCAATAAGTATTCCACTTGCATTATAAATATCTTCCTGAAGCATAAATTAGTACACAGCTAATTCTTTTCAGGTTCCAAAGCACATGTATAACACGAAGAGAATATTAAGGTCATAACGAAGCACTTGATATTCTTTCCTACAGATCTAGTGGAGTTCACAGATGAGGAGGGGTATGGCCGATACTTGGATCTGCATGATTGCTATCTCAAATACATTAACCTAAAATCCTCAGAGGTAAGTGGCTGAGTGAGCCTGGGCGATCAGCTATTTCTAGTCTTCTGTGCTTAAGGTTGAGGGTTCTTTTCCTTGCTTGTTTCATTGGTAATTTGTTTTCTTGTTGTTTTGAAATGTAAGTAATATAGTTTATTTCTAAACAGCTATTTCAAAGCACTTTTTTGCACATACAGCTTGACAGCGTATGAATTCTGAATGCTGCTTCATGACTCTACTTTCTTGTTCTCTTCGATTTATTGTCTCTGTCCTTAATGTAATGATGGCCTTGTAAAAATCCTGTCTTCTGCTACCAAGTACTGACAGGTATCTAAGGCCATGTGTTAGAAAGCACATGGAAAACCCCAGCACTAAGCAGTCCATCCAGAATAAAGGCGTGAGCTGGCGCTTTTCTCCTGGTCTGGTAACTGGAAATGGGTTGTTGATTTGGCTGCATCTGTATAAAGTCTGACTTGAACTTTTTTTGTTCATAGAAACTGGATTACATCACTTACTTATCTACATTTGACCAACTCTTTGATATTCCCAAAGAGAGAAAAAATGCTGAATATAAGAGGTAAACCTTTTTGCCTACCTGCTTCATTTATGACACTTGATAAGAAGGAATTTGCTTCTGAAGTGTACAGCTGTTAAGACTGTAGTTTACATCAGCTAAGCTTGATGGCTCATTGAGTCACTAACCCATAGTAATGCAGTTGTATATCTGATGAGCCTTGAGGAGACGTGAAGCATAACAAAATAAGGAAAGCCATTGGGGTCTTACTCTGTAGAGATACTTTGTCATTGTGGCTGTTGCATCTATAAATCCTGTGTTTAAAAACTATCCTAATCTTGATGACTTTCATATCGTTATATCACTAATTTGATATGGAATTGTCTGTGCTAATGATTACTCCGGCAGGTACCTTGAAATGCTTCTTGAGTACCTACAGGAGTACACAGATCGCGTGAAGCCATTACTGGACCAGAATGAACTTTTTGGGAAAATTCAGACTGAGTTTGAGAAAAAGTGGGATAATGGAACTTTCCCTGGTTGGCCGGTGAGCAGTCATTGAGTCCTTGTGAATGCTTCTGGATTTGTGATGG